CTCTCACAAACAACTTTTACTCCGCCCACCTTTCTTATTTTAATTCCAGTATAGTTAACACACAGTGTTATGTTAATTTCAGGTGTACAATATAGTGATTCAACAATTCCATACATTACCCAGTGCTCATCACTCTTTGTGGGTTTTTAAAATGAATTTATTTTCACTAATAGATGCACAGCTATTCAGACTTTGTTTTACCTTGTCCCTTTTGGTAAGTATTTCTCAAGAAATTTATTTCACCTAAGTTGTCAAATTTACTGAATTAAGTTATTCACAATATTTCTTTATTATCTTTTTCATGTATATATGGTTTACAATGATAACCTCCCTTCTATTCCAGATATTGGTAAATTGTGTTCTTTCCCCTTCTTCCCTCTCCCACTTTGTCTTAATCAGTCTAGCTAGGAGTTATTAATTTTATGGATTTTTTAAATAACCAAATTCTGGTTTTGTTAGTTTTTCTATTAATTTTGTAGTATTACATTGATTTTTGCTCTTATTTGTATTATCCTTCCCCCCCCCCATTCTATTTATTTTGTGCTTCATTTTCTAGCTTCTTAGGGCAAAACCTCAGGTTGTATACTTCAGATCTTTTTTTGAATACAAGCATATAAAGCTATACCTTTTCTTATAGGCACTGTTTTAGCTGCACCAACAAATTTTGTTATATCATATTTCACTGTAACTCAGAATTCCCTAATTTTTTAAAATTTAAAATTTTTTAAAACCACAGATTATTTTACACGTGTTGTTTATTTTTCAAATATTGGTGTTTTCCTAAGTATCTAACTTCTAATTTAATTCTCTTCTGGTCAGACAATATGCTGTATGATTTCAAACCTTTTCAATTTATTGACACTAGTTTTATAGATTAGCACATGATTCAATCCTGTTGAATAGAACATACACCCTCAAAATGAATGTATATTCTTCATTTGTTGGAAACAGAGTTTTATAAATATCAATGAGGTCAAGGTAGTTGATAGTAAATGAACTAAGTTTTTTGTCTAGTTATTTTGTCTAGTTGTTAAGAGAGGTATTCAAACATTTAACTATAATTTTGTATTTACTTCTCTCTTTAATTCTATCAATATTTGCTCCATTTATTTTAAAGCTCGTAGGTTATATACCTAAAGTTATCATTATATATCACTTATCATTGTTATATATTCCTGATATATTGACTCTTTTATAATTTTATCATTATCAAATGTCTGTATATAGTGAGACTGGCTGTAATGGGAAAAGAGGATGGTTAAGAAGCAAATGGTATGGGTAAATTTCCAAATAACTAAGTGCTACCTGAGTTTAAAGTTGTCATTTTCTAAAGTATATAATATCTGAAAGCTGATGAAACTTAAATCTCTGAAAAAAACCAAGAACCTGACTTTTCTGGGTTTGAACACTTGCAGAAAAACTTACATAAACTACTTGAATATATACTTGTTTAACAGGTATCAGTGAAAAACTGTTGTAATGATAAAAGGATTTTTCACATCATGGTGAAGTATTATACCTATAGTTAATAAAGATGTTGGCTTCTATGTTCTCTGCTGAATCAATTTAAAAAATTCAATTGCAGAATGATCCATCAGTGTTTCCAGTAATACCACTACACCAGTTTCTTTTTAATGGCTCATCAGTTATGGGATTGCCACATAAGTAATATGAGGAGACTCATTTAGCAACATATTATTACATCATCTTAACATGAAGCAAGGCCCATCAGGCATTATTAAATTAGACTGAATTTTGTAGAATGTCAGCAGCATTTTATGTACGTTAATAGGAGAGTTAATGTTCCTTTGGGAATTATGTTGAAGAAAAATGGTTTCAAAGTGGTGTTTGGATATAATTTTGCAGTCACTGTTTACATTTCCTTCTATTATCATCGTGTGGTTAAGATTTTTATGTCACTTGTGAATAAGTAAGACAAAATGGCAGCCAATTTGTTGTTTTAGTGTATTGTCTTCTCTGACCCCTGATAACAAATACTGTTTGGAATACAGGTTTTTCTTTGAAAAGAGTGATACATCTTTTTTAACTCTTGAATATACTGAGTTTACTATTTAGGCCTCAAATCAGCTGGTGCCATCCATTATAATTTTGTCTAGCAACTGCAGTATAGTGAGAGCTAAGTAACAATAATAAATAGCAAGGCCATTGTTCCTTTCACAGTGAGGAATTCTTTTACTTGTTTTAAGAGCCCTCCTATCTTCACTGATGCCATTTGTCTTTGCTGCAGTAAAATCTCTCCTCTGTGCTGAATTTTGGGCTTCCTCTTTGGGGCTCAGGCATTGGTTTTTGAATTCTTTACAAATAAATCTTTCCCTCACTTGAATACCTTTACATTTCTTGTATATAGCAATATTGCTATTTTATATTTAATATATCCCGGTAACACTGTTTCTCTTTTCCAAAGGCCTGCCTGATCTCTCCAAAATGTTATACACAATTGTTAAACAGTGATCTTATAGTTTCTTCCTTTTTTATACTCTGTAGACGCTTACATTTGACATATAGAGAAGAACTGGGTTTCTCAAAGTATAATCCCCAGTCCATGTGAATTAGCATCATCTGGGGCACTTGTTTAAAATATAAATTCCCCCCCAAATATATATATATATATATATATATATATAAATTCCCAGGACCCTCCTCAACCAAACAAATTAAAATGAAAGGGTAAATAAGGACATAGACTAGGAACCTGAGACTGTTAAGCTGTGGTATAGTTACAACATAGTTAAAAGCATCAACCCTGTGTTTAGAAGGTTTACCACTTGCTAGATGCATGCCCTTGAGCACGTTACTTAATACCTCTGGAGAGCATCCATTTTCCAATCTGAAAAATGGGTGTTAAAAGAATTAAATGTAATCATGTTTAATTCAACGCCTAGCTTAGTTCTCAGTAATTGGTAACAATTGTTATTACAGTGTTATGTATCTAGGTTTTTTTTTAAAGATTTTATTTATTTATTTGACAGAGAAAAACACAGCGAGAGAGGGAACACAAGCAAGGGAACTGGGAGAGGAAGAAGCAGGCTTCCCACTGAGCAGGGAGCCCAACGTGGGGCTCGATCCCAGGACCCTGGGATCATGACCTGAGCTGAAGGCAGACGCTTAACGACTGAGCCACCCAGGAGCCCCTGTATCTAGGTTTAAAATAAATGTTTTCTGATATGAGAATTAAATCTAGTATTGTACACCTCAAACTCATATAACACTGTATGTTAATTATACTGGAATTAAAAAAACAAAAATCATGAGAAGAAAGGAGTTAAATCTGGTATAAACACATATTAATCTTTGAAAAACTGTTAAGATTTATCTTTTCAAAACTTGAGAATTATATAAATAGAGCTTACCACTGATCCTAACTAAATAGCAATACCTTTGCCAAGGGAGTATAAAAAATGTAAGTGGGAACTCATTAATATAAGCATTTACTGATATATTAGACGCAGCTGTAGTTTCTAAGAGCTTACAATCATTTTTCCCTCAAGTTTAGCAATAGTGTTAACATTAGACCAGTGGCTCTCAAACCTTTTGGTTTCTTAAAAATAATATTAAGGATTCAAAATAGCTTCTGTGAAGTTTATCTCAGGAACACAAAGATGATTTAACATACCAAAGAAAATCATTGCAAGTTACCCTATTATAGTACCACTACTGGGCACTGTTTCAACTCATCCTCTGCTCTGGCATTTATCCATGTGTGTTCCATACATGCACATACTTCCCAATCTATGTACAGAGGATGGTGAGAATAAAGGAGGAAAGAATTGCTTGAGTTATGAGTTACAGGCCTGTGATAGGGTTGTGCTAAGGATTTTCTCTCGTTTCCCAAAGCCAAGTGAGCACTCCAAGAGATTCAATAAGGGGCATTTCATGGAATAATAATGACCCTTTCTGATGAGACCGTGAATATAATGACTTGAATAAATAATACAAAAAAAACCCCACCCCAAAACAAAATAGCTTTTGTTTTGTAGGTTGTATGAATGGAAAAAAAAATTAAATGTGGATTTATTTTGTAAAATGCTTTCACAAGTACATGGAACTTAACCCACAGAGACCTATAAAGTAGAAGCAAAACTGCTAATTCTATTTTTCAAATGAGGAATCAATGCAGAGATGGGAAATGACTTGTCTTAGGACCATCAGTCAGTAATTTATAAAGATGGGATTTGAACCTAGGTCTTCTGACTGAATGGCACAATTACAGGATATATATTAAATGGAGTAGTACTGTTAGAATGAGAATTAAAATTGGCTCACATGCCCATGTCTAAAATTAGGGCAGACCTCATGAAAGGCATGTAGACAGCAGAAATCAAATTGCATACATTCTTCCTTTCTATTCTTTTTGGCTTGATTCTGATAGGAATCTAGAGGTGAACTGAGTGTTCAGGATTCTCTCTAAATATATGGGGGAAAAAGCAGAGAAGATGGCAATTAGTAAAAATACAACATGCTACGGAATATGGAAGAATTGAAATGACGTTTCCAAGTCAAAGAGACTTTTGGAAGCCTAAAGAATTGGTTAGAGTATAGGACTGAAATGAAAGTATTTAGACCATTAGTAAGCTTAACATTATAGGATAGAAAAGTTACACAGAGCAACTGTATGTTCTTCATGTAATATATCAGCAGTTCTCTTCTTTTTATGAGGAAATATGCACAAATCATTTTCAGAAACGATATAAGAATTTTCGAAAGGGGTAGGAAGGTAATTGTTACTTTGCTTCCAGTTAAAATGGAGTTGAGTTACGAAAATCTTTGATAATAGAGAAAGACGAGTCTGGTGAATTGGGGAAGAGAAACCATTTTAAGCAGAGGGAGAAGAAAATATGTTTAGTAACTAAAATCTTACCACATTTAGTCACATATTAAAGGCACAAATAATGGTGAAATCGGATAAATTTATACCTCCTCTATCAAAGCCTTTATTTATGGGTTAAAAATGATCTCACTTTTGTATTTATTAAACTTACTTGACAGCCTGGTAATCCGGTGTCTCTGCTGTACAGGGAAAATGAGCCTCTCTCTGACGTTTTTCCTATAAAACAAAGAAAATAACTATATACAAAAATCCTCATTTACTGACAATCAATTCAACTTCTAGACCATTCATAGTAATTATATTGTGATTTGGAAGTACAAAGAATAAATTAGAAACAAGAAGATAAAATCCAATAAATAAAATTTAAAAATCCTACTATCATTCTAGTCTTAAATTCTGACTTTCATAGAATAGCATGTATTTTATTAAATACTTTCCATTGTGAAACACCAAAGAAATATTCAAAAGAATGGAAAAGAATAGATATCTATATAGCCAACAGTATGATCTACTCAGTAGGGAGAGTGTTTTCCCATATTTGCTTCAGACTGAATATTTCTCCTTCTCTCTCCCTGAAATTGAAAGTGTGGATACAGCTCAATTCTCACCCCAGACCACACAATAACCATTAGCAAAAGGTTAGTATACATGATTCCCATGTATGTTTTGAAACTTTTAATATATATTCATGCACTCAAACAATATACATTACTGTTTGTGTTTAATACATTTAAACAGATGGGATTATATAGTATCTACCCCTTTTGAAATGTGCACTTCCATGCAATATTATGCTTTTGAGATACATGTTGATAAGAGACACCTAGTTCATTCATTTTTAGTGCTATAAAATGTCCCACTATACAAAAAAAACTACAGTTGATCTATTCCCCTACTGAGAAATAGACTGTTTCTAGTTTTTTTGTTATCAGGAAGAATGGTGAAACATGTATCCTCACACATGTGTTATACATACAAGTAAGACTTTCTTTAGGACAGACACAGAGAAGTGGAACTGCTGGATTAAAGGATGAACACTTTCAACTTTCTATGTATTGCTTTACTATTCTCTGAAGTCATCATGTCAATTTATATTCCCAGAAATGTGTAAGAATTCCTTTTGGGACTATTATCTGCAGTTCCAAAGTTGGATGGTTAAATGTCAGAAATGGTATGAGCCAGTTCTAGAGGGAGAGTAGATGTCCCACAGTGCTGATACTGACAGAAGTTCTTACTTACTTGCTTTTCAACATATTGTTAAGTATATTTACAAAAACTATATAAGTTTTAATAAACAATCTCTCACAAACAGATACGTTGCTCAAAAAGATTTCTATAAACATCACAGTTTGATGTTAATATCAAAGATGGAGACACAGATAAGCAATGACAATGGCAGAGCAAATTCTTTTTCTCCATTCCAAGGTAAAAACAGTAACAATCTAACTAAATCTGACCAGTTATCCAAAATATTTAAAATTATTGAGGCTATATGAACTTCTCCATAATTGTATATTATTCATTGAGGTATTAGCTTATGATTATATAAAAATGTATAGTTTATTAATTTTTTAAAACTCCACACAGATGGGATGCTCAAAATTATTTACTGATAGAGTGCATAAAATTTAAAAAAACTTGGGAGACATAGACACCAATATTTGATTATTTTCATTGACGTCTACATGCCACAGTGGCCAACTGATGCAAAATCTTGCTACTCTAAATTTGGCACGTACTGACTTCTTAGATATACAAAATAATCCTTGTAATAACAAAGCTAGTTATTAGAAAATACTGTAATAACTTGGGGTATAATTTCAGAGCCCCATTAGGACATTATAGCACATATCTTAAAAAGCACTTACTGGCTATTAGTGATGAAGCACATATTTCAGGTGAAGTAATGACAACACATAAAAATACATATTTATGAGAAAAGGTTAATTAATGTGGTCTATTTGCCTCACAGTCTCACCATAAAGCAGTACGTTCTACATAAAGAGCTTTAATTTGCAACATACACATATGGAATAAAAAGGAAAAAAACCTGTAACTCTCAAAGGATATATCTTTTACGAGTAAGACTGCTTATAAGAGTCAAGATGATCTGTGGGGATTTTGGACTCTACCCTTCTACTCTTGGAATCCAACCTCATAAAACCACGAAAGGTTGTATTTTCGCAACTGTGACACACACACACACACTATTCCTGTGCCTCATCAAAATGGATTAGAAATCCTGCTGAACCAAGAAGATGGCAGAGACTGAAGGGAAATGCCAAATCAGAAGGACTGGCAAGACAAATTACTGAGGGAAAGTAAAAAACAGCACACATTTACGGTTTGAAGGTATTACTTTATTCATCAAATAAACAAGTTTATGAGATACTAAAAATCATTCTCAGTACATATCTTTTTTTTTTAAAGGAGTGGCTGGAGGACATGACATATTTATTTATTTTATTTATTTTTAAAGATTTTATTTATTTATTCATGAGAGACAGAGGGGGAGAGAGAGAGAAGAGAGAGAGAGAGGCAGAGGGAGAAGCAGGCTCCCAAGGAGCAGGGAGCCTGATACGGGACTCAATCCCAGGACCCCGGGACCACGACCCCGAGCCGAAGGCAGACGCTCAACGACTGAGCCACCCAGGCACCCTCTTTTTTTTTTTTTTTTAAAGTGGAAGCCCAGCACGAGTTTGAACTCATGACTCTGAGATCAAGATCTGAGCTGAGACCAAGAGCTGGATGCTTAACCAACTCAGCCACCCAGGCGCCCCTAACGTGTCTTCAATTTTAAGAAAATACAACCTTTAAAAACGTATCATGTCCCATATATACTTGGCAGGACAGAGCTGGGAGACTATACTAACATTTTATTTTATTTTATTTTTTTAAGATTTTATTAATTTGACAGAGAGAAACACAGCGAGAGAAGGAACACAAGCAGGGGGAGCGGGAGAGGGAGAAGCGGGCTTCCCGCTGAGCAGGGAGCCCGACGTGGGGCTCGATGCCAGGACCCCGGGATCATGACCTGAGCCCAAGGCAGATGCTTAGCAACTGAGCCACCCAGGCACCCCTATATTAACATTTTAAACAAACACCACAGAGTTAAAAAAAAAAAAGACTATATTTGTTTTTCATCACAATATACCATCAACTTATTATTGGTTGAAATACTCAATAGGCCCTTTCTACCTTGCAAATTCCTCTTCCTGAAACATTCAACAACTAACGAAGACTTAAAGCTAAACAACAAGGTCTGTTTTATTTTTACTCAACTGTACCAGAGTAAGAAACTTTTTTTTTTTCAATTGTTCATGTAGGAAAGGGAACAAAGTAAGAAATCAATATTAGCTCTGTTTTTAGTAAAGTTCAGCTTTCAAATACAATTTTAATTATCTGTGAGGAGGTTACTTGTTATTTAAGAAAACTAAGTTTTTAAACCCATTTTCCTGTGCCTATTAAAATTCCTAAATTTCTTCCTTTCACAAGGATATTCAAAGAGAGAATGAAAACTAATTTAACATAAGCTAAAAACATTAGAGAGTAAAAATTTCTTCTGAAATGGAAAGTTGATAGCTTGTTTTTAAAATGATACTTAACCTATTCAAATGAGATTTTGAAATGTAAATACATTTTCATTTCACCTTTCATTTATTAGGAACTAGTTGTTTCTGAGGGACTTAGAAATTTGGTTACTCTTTAAATATAATAATGCATACTCAGTCTGAGATTTAGAAGACATTCATCTTTAATTCTTTCAAAATTACTCTTTACAAGAACTATTTTCATCAATTAAAATGAATCTCTAAGTCTATTTTATCTCAGGTGTCTGACAAATAACAGCTTTGGCTACCGTATTATGGTTTTCTGCTAAGTATTATATATGAATGGTATACATAGATAATTTTAATATATGTCACATGAACACGGTTGAGTAACTGTTAGTATCTAACTTCCCTTGAATGGCGAGGGATCTAGAAACCACATCAGCTAAAAGAATCAAGATGTTAGCCTAGAGAGGAGAGGATCTGGGAGAAGTGCAATCTCTGTACCAGCAGAACTATCATGCTAAGATGGAATCAAGAATACACTGGCCCTAGTGAAGAGATTTAGGAACAAAGGATAAAAGTAAAGAGATGCATTCTTCTACGTTGTTATGAGAAAGAATGCTCAGAAAACAGAATTTCCAAGAGTAAAATAAAACCTGTGCAGAAAATTATATGATATTCCTGGTATTCTTATTAGTAAGGAGATTTGTGGAACAATTAGCTCTTTTGTTGTGGATTTATTAATGCAGTGGGAGACTTAACAGACATTTTGGCAACCAAGTTCCTACTAGTAAATCACAGTGAGTTTGTGTTTATTGGACAGTTGGGTATTTTACAATGAAATGGCCATTGAAGTATTTTGTCTACCTTTTTTACTTTTGGATTGTCATTTACTTGTTCATTTGTGGAGTTCTTTATGTATTTTTGATATAAGACCTTTTATTGTCTCTGTAAATATTTTCTGTAGGTTGCCTTTTCACTCTCTTAATGGTGTCTTTTGATAAATTCTTCATTTTAATATTGGCTAATTTGTCCATTTTTTGTTGTGTGTACTGTTTAAAAAAAATCTCTGCCTATTCCAAGGTTACAAATCTATTTTTCCATGTTTTCTTCTGAAAGCTTTACTGTTTGCCTTTCACATTTAAACCTGAATTTGATTTTTGTGTAGGTTAGTGGTTGGGGGGAGAGGGGTCAAGGTACATTTTTTCCAGATACCCAACTGACTTCAGTATTATTTACTGAAAAGATGCTCTATGTCTAAAAAGTATCATCATGGCTGCTTGTGAAGAATAAACTACAGGAGAACAAGTGCGGAAACAGACCAATTAGAAGACTACTAGACTACTGAAATAATCCAAATAAATTAGAACACTACTAAAATAAACTAGATGAAAGCTAATGGTGGCTTTGAAATTCTTCCAATTCACTGAGGTAGGTACTATTAAGTCCCCATTTCACTAACAAGGAGAAATAATTTGCCCAAGGTCACAGAATTAGTAAGTAGCCAAAAGAACCAGAATGCAGGGCTTTCTGACCCCAGATTCTCTCTTTTTTTTTAAGATTTTTTATTATTTATTTGACACAGAGAGAGAGAGAGAGAGAGAGCGCAAGCACAAGCAGGGGGAATGGCAGGCAGGGGAGAAGCAGGCTCCCTGCTGAGCA